GAAACTCCTCCCCCCCCCCCCCCAAAAAAAAATGTTACAGGCAAATCAAAAATCTAACTTAGGTAATCAGGTACAGGGCACAGGCTGTTTTAATCATAGACCTTAGGATGTCACCAGGCAATGCAATTGAGGACAGACACAGCAAACATCACCAGGCCCATAAGAACCAACAAAGGAAACAATCCCGAACTCAAAGAGCAGGCTGAAGCACTTATGGCTAAGGCTGGCATTAGCAGAGGCCTAAACATCCACCTGATAAAATGTCATAAATGTATGAACTGAAGACCAAGTGGCAGCCATGCAAATCGGAGAAATAGACAGCTGGTGATGAAAAGCACTGAAAAACCTAGTCAAGTGAGCCTTAGGGCCTGTTCACATGAGTGTCCTGATCAGGTCCGGATCTGCAGACGCGGTGCTACTGATGCAGTGCGCTTTGGCCGCGTTTTTGATGTGTTCCAGTATGGAGTGGGGCTGTTAGTATGTTAGGTGTAGTGCGTTTTTGACGCGTTTTGAACGCGTTTGCGTTTCCTGACCGTACAAAATGTGACATGCAGTATTTTTCTGTCGTAAGCTGAACGGACTGTGCACGTGAGAACTGAAGCCCATAAAACACATAGGGATACATTGGGATGCATTTTGAGTGCAGGAGCGTACGGATCAGGTCAGCACACAAAACGGACGTCGTGTGAACAGACACTTAACCAGAAAGGTAGGAACTGTCCTTCAAGGCATAAGCTTCAGTGATGACCTACCTAATCCACCTAGCAGTGGAATGAGACACAGCACATCTCTTGCAGGAGCCCATCAAGCAGGACAAAGAGGTTATCCAATCGGGGGATAGAGGCAGTGGCTGAAAGATACACTGGCAATGCCCGCACCACATCCACACAGTGTTGAAAAAGCTCTTTAGGATGCTACAGAGCAGGCAAAGAGAAGGTGGGGCAAAATCGTGATTAAGGTGGAAGTAAAAATCACCTTGGAAAGAAGAGAGGCCTGAGATCGCAGAACCAACTTATCTCTATGAAGAATTTAAAAAGGTTCTCTACAGAATAAGGTTGCTAATTCCAAAACTCATCTTGCAGACATGATAGCCATAATGAAGGCCATCTTACGAGTAAGGTCCACCAAGGGAATATCCCTAGTGGGCTTGAGAGTAAGATTCTACGGAGCTGACAAGACTAGCTTTGGTGGGCAGGCATATGGATTAATACAGAGAATGGGGTAAATTTCCCCATGCTGCCAGAATGTTGAGCTGAAGGCACCTGGAGTGGAACTGGGCAAAACATCCTTGCCTCAAACCAGGCCACAATTAAGGCCAGAACTATCATGCAAAAATGTAATGAACAAAAAGGTCTGGAACTTGAAAATACAGGGTCAAAACTTTCTCCAGGGGAAGAAACACCAGGAATTAGACCCCGTCCAATACTAGACCCGAGAACCTGAAATGATGAGTCTGATTCAACGCAGACATTTTTAAATTGAGGATCCACTAAGAATTCTAAAGCATCTGGAGTGGGCCTTGGCTGAGTGCTCCTTCAGAAACAGATCTTCCAGATACCACATAATGTGCATTCCCTTAAAGTGCAGCAGAGCAAGAACCAGGACTAATGCCTTTGGAAAGACTGGGGGGGTCAAAGGAAAGAGCCACAAACTGTGGTGCAACACAAGTTCGACACAATTTCCACAGAGAAGATAGAAGTTCAGAAGGAAGGAAGTAGGGAGGAGGGAAGGACCAAAATTCCAAAGTCTGTATCCTCAGGACACATCTATAACCCAAAGATCTGTAATGTCCCAAGTCCAGGTAGCCAAGAAGGCTGAAAGACATCCCTCGACTAAAAGTGGGGGGCCCCCTCATATTGAGGTGGACTTGGTACCTGACTTTGCTGGCTTAGGTGATGGTCCCATTTTCCTTGTTTCTGACATATGACATTGGGGTGAGAAGATTCCCTGAGGGGTACTCACAACTAATGCTCCTGAGCACAAAGGATGCTGCTGACCTGTATCTTACGATTAAAGGCTGCTGGGAAATCAGATGAAGGTCTGCACTGAATCCCATGACCCAGAGATGGAGCAGGAGGCTGTGTAGTGTATGTCCCTTGTAGAAGCATGTGCTTATAATGGATGGCATAGCCTGAGGGAAGCTAGGGAACTACCTCCCTGGGTAGGGTTGATCCACACACGAACATCGCAGCGCTGCATGGGTTTTAAACCAATTTTGCAACAGATAAAGTGACAACTCATTGTTTAAAGTGTGACCGTACAACACACCGTTCCCAAACACAGGAATCATGCTGCTCACCCCTCAATGCATAAAGGCAGGTCCCTATACTCCAAGAACAACCAATTGTGGGGGAGGGAGAGGGAGACATTCAGGTCCAATGGGAGCTAAGCACCAACACTCAACCCCATGGGTATTGAAGATCTATCACAGGAGAGATCTGTAGACTACCCACTTTGGGAGGAAATATCCTCTCCACCGTGGGAGTTTTTCAGGGGCAGGGTTCCACCAGACGAGTGGACCACAACCCTGGACCTATCTGGCTAACTGAACCTCATTGTACTGCTGTGCTAAGGGAGAACTACTAACAGAGTCCAGCAACATTACAAGCCTGCCCCGCATCTTCCACATGACAGGGTCCAGGTATGGTTCCCGAGGCTTGCCAAGAGGCACTGATCCAGATGCTGCAAGATTACAGCCTCAATAGCTTAAGTGAAGCTAGGTTGAGGTGAAATTCCTTCCTAGATAGGTTGTAGAAGCAGAAATAGATTTAGCCAGAAACCAACTGAGAAACTGGGAATCTGTTTGCCAGTGTTCAATCACCTGAATTAATCATCTATGATTAAAGGAGCCTGTGGCCTATACTGTGTGATCAAGAAAGGTATTTACAATGTTTTCCTTTTAATCTTATAAACATTGTCCACTTGCAAAATCTATGCTGACTAGTTTAGGGTTTTCTGCAAAAGAATGGTTCATATATACCTTAACATTCGCTATGTCTAGGACACATTTTTACTGCCAATTTGCAGACCAATTTCAAGAAATAAAAGTTAATCTGTCAGGCTGGGTTTTCCTGGCAGATTACAACTTTTGGCAAGAGACAATGGTGTCTGACAAATATATAAACAAGTACTGGAAAAGAACATTTAACTATCTGCCAAGGTCAGCAGCAAAACATAGTCAGACTAATGAAGACTAATTTACAATTAGGCCAGGGATGACCGATTGTTGATGTTGAGTGTTACAAACAACACAGTAACTTATCTGACAAGTACTGATGCAGCAATCGGGTGCATTTACAATCCAGTTGCCCCTCCTCAATAAAAGCACATGGAAACCCCAAAACAAATATGCAGCACACCAGATGTAGTGGCTGCATTAGCTTTTTTTTCTTCAGCCTTTTATCCCTTAATTTTTACCCGGTGATCCTGCAAATAACACCTCCTGTTTCTTTGTGTCTACACTCATTTCTCCATTGTATCTATTGAAATAGTCATGGTTGCCACAAAGGCCTAGACTTCAAACATCTTTATTGCATGGCAGATTGTTAGGACTAGTCGTTTACAATAGAAGGATAAGGATGATTGTACGTTCTTTTTAGCTCACGTAAAGTGACAAGAGTACTGCATTTCTGGCAAGATTCAGCGAGTATTTTCTGTACTTACTGAAAACATTCTCAGCCTGAAAAAAGAAAACAAATGTAGCCATGACTGGAAAGCTGCTGTGGAATTTTTTTTTTTAGGTTTAGATATGCTTTAAAGGTTGCAGCTTTTATAAGCCTAATTTTGAGCACAGGAAGGCCCCTCTACTCCTGAGATATGATCACCCATACCCGATTTGTTTTCTCTGATTCCTGGACCCTGCGTTTCTGCTCCACTACTTCTTCTGTCTGCCTGACTCCTTGTGACCTCAGTCTGGACCATGATTTTGCTTATGGTTACTATAAGTAGCTGCTTGAGTGTTGATGAACTCAAATGGTTTATGATCAAGCCTCTGTTTGCTGTTGTGTTTTGCAATACTGATGCCAACCCAGGCTCTGTCCACACATCACCATTACGTTTTATTTTACTGCAATCGAGCTGCATATATCACACCTATGGGTAACCAACAATAACCGCCTTTTTAGCCAGCAATGTGTATACCCTTAAGGCAAACCCCGGCATCCAGGCTTAGTACTGGTGCTCTGCCAAGCCCTATTCATGAGAACTAAGTTAAAAAACAAAATAAGGTTTACAATACCATAAAGTTAATATTCAAATACCTTGTAGAGCGCACTAATCTTGCCAACAATGTTCTTTTTTCTTCATTGGTGAACCTCATGATACCAGGAGTCTCAAATCTTTGTCTAATCCACTGGGACTGCTCCACATCATTGATGAACATGAATTCTAGCCCAATATGTTGACAATATGAATTCTGCAAGGCGCAAGAGCATGTATAGCATACAAATACAATACAAAATCTATTCAACATGACTTTGTAACAAAAAATTATTAAACTAAAATATATTCTAACACAGTGTACATTTTTTTTTTTAATAAACAAAACACTGTGCTTTACATTTGCAGCCACATGTATTTAATCCACTTTTTCCCAATAAATTTGCCATGCAGTAAGTTAAAACTTACACAAGTAAATTGCACCTACCATTCTTTATCTTATACACTGAGTGGCCAGATTATTATGACCACCCCATCAGTACTTCGCTGGGCCGCCTCGTGACTCCACGAGATGTTGAAAGGTGATGCGAGGAATCTGACACTGCACTGTTGCCCTTCTGTTGTCTTGTACCAGTCTTGCCACTCTCCGTTCTACCCGAACATTGACTAGTCGCTGACGGATACAATTCGCATGTTCAGACCCAGATTTTGGCTGACAGGCTGACAGTCCAGTCTTTAAACCAGGGGTCTCAAACTCAATTTAGTCGGGGGCCACTGGACACATTTTTTTAGTCGCTTGGGGGCCGCTACTATATACGGTACCAGTGTTAATGTCTGCATATGTTACAAGCGGCAACTGCCACCCATTCAAATTAACGATCGGGTGACAGATCCAGCACACCGCATGTAATCATATGTGAAAAGATTACATGCAACTTTTGTAACTGCTTGTAATCATATAACATGCCATTACATGTGGTGTGCAGGCGTGTAAATGCAGCGGCTGTCACCCGATCAATAATTTGAATGGGTGACAGTTGCTGCCTGTAAACGTCAGATTAGGGATTCCTGCTGCAGGAAAACGCAAGTTTGTGACACAGGAATCCCTAATCGCACCTGAAATATAGGTGTGAATTATGTAAAGGTCTACTTTAGCTTATTATATACACCGCCTTTCAATTCTGTAGAACAAACTCTATTGATTATCGCTAAACTATTTCTAGCCAATTAAAAATCAGTGGTGCCATAAGCGGACGCATACCACTGTTTTTTTATATACATGTGAAAAGTTTCTGATGTCTGGTACTTTCTTCAAATGTATGATATTCTGCTTTAAAGAAAAATAATTTACCTCCAATCTCCTAATGATCTCTCGCAGAGACAGGGAAGTTTCATTACCCCCAATGTAGGTAGTTGTCGGCAGTCTGAATACTTTATCTAAATCTCCCTCATGCAGTCCATAAAAACCTGTTAAATTTTAAAAAAAGTCCAACAGAACAATAAATATCTAAATTTCTATAAACAGCAAATAAAACATATAACATGCCATGCAAAGTCTACTACATTCATTTAAAAGGATTAGAAATGTTACAAATCAGGTGAAAATGCCTAGTTTAAACATGCATCCTACATAAAAAGTATCATGAAATACATTTGGGATACCATAGCAGTGATGGGAGATCATAATTAAACAACTTCACACAGTGGACTATTGGTATAAGTAAAAAAAAAAAAATCAATGAACTGTTTAATTTTAAAGTAAAATTTACAAGAGCTGAGACAATATTATAGCATGTCTTTCTATAACCTTCCACTGTGATTTAGCAGAGTGATATGTTTTTGAAGCTAATAGAGGATCGTTCATGTCTGGAATATTAATATCATCTTGAACGCACAGTTACACCCAAGCAGGCAATCAGAGGACACAGGAAATTTCTTGACTACAGGTCTTCGGGTTTATAAATCAAGAGGGTAGAAGGGAAAGAAAAAAAAGAAAAAATCTAAGGTCAACGCCTAATGGAAAGTGACTGAGTTTGACAGCTTAAATACACTATGAATTACTACCCTCTTAAAACCCAGCACAAAGCGATCAATACTTGGACAACACAGCTCACAGATTCTGCATTTAAATAATGAAGATAATAAGCAAATATGACACTGCAGAAAAAAATAAAATCTGTAAAATGACTTCACAAAATCCAATGGACTTTAGAGGCAGTAAAAAAAATAAAATGAGAAACTTTTTTTTTCTGGGTTGATTTTAAAGTTTAAATTAGGAAAGCTGTGTATTTCCATCAATAATAAATAGATATTGTCGCAATATGAGGTGCAATGACCGGAGAACTACATAGTGACCAATTAAACACAAAAATAATTAACCAAGATAAATATATGATATTTTAAACCAATTAAGCTACAAATAATTAGTTTTTATTTGCTTGAAATCATGGGAAAAAATGTCATGTTCTAGAGCTACATGGCTAACCAAGCTAAACAGTGAGGAGTAAACCCATATATCAATGCTTCTGAAAATCTAAAGGATGAAGTGGGTAAAATGAAAAACAACAAAGATTCTCTGAACACTGTAAGCAGCTGGAGCTCATTAATCCAGAGGTTTATTATGCGCGATACCATTCAGGCGCTACAGATCATCCACCTCTTCATGACAGATGCAATACCTTATACTCAAAAACACAGCCATCAATCACTCACATGGGCTTTGGAGAATGAGACAGTTCATAGCCCTGAGAAATAATAGACGGCAGGCTACAAATGCACAGAGTCTATAGAGACATTCTAAAACAGCCTTAAATTAATGCAGAGCTAAAATCCTTAAAATTAATATGAGGTAAAAGTCAAACAAAACCCGTGACAACCCATGCCACTGTGTTAGGGCAAGGTCAGGTACATCCAATGGCAGAACGAGGCAACACACGATTTGCCATGTAGTCCCTAAAAATACACAATGGAAAATCATAAATCATTCTCTAAACAGGGTTTTTGGAAAAAGAAAGAATAAAAACATATTAAAAAAGGCAGGCTTTAACCCCCCCC